CGCTTTTCGCACAGAACTTTCTCTTTGGGTTCGTGTGGCAAGCAGACCTGTACTTCCTGCCTATCTATTATCAAGATGTTCGAGGGTTTGCCCCACTGAAATCTGCATACCTTACCTTGCCTTTGCTTCTTGCCCAGAGCCTCGGCGGAGTCTTGTCGGCGCCGGCCATGACTTTTACCGCAAGGTGTGTACAATGCTTCTAATGAGTTTGTTCCTCTCCGAGTCGTGCATGTCTAACACGGGCTCTCAGGTACATGCCGGTTCTGTGGTTAGGATTCGTTTTGTGGACAATCGGGGCAGGGTTGAAGCTTTTATTCTCCCGCACCACTGGAATTGGGGTATATGTGGTTGCTGCTCTGGTTGAGGGTGCGGGTGTCGGTTTCGTGTTTCAACCCTGTAAGTTGTGCATTTCGTACTTCGACCCCTTTCTTCCCACGCGTCGATGAATTATGGCCGTTAACTGTTGGTTGGTGGCAGCTCTTGTGGCATTACAAGCTCTTTCAACAAGGCCAGACGTCGCCGTGACCACGTCCACGCGCAATTGGGTCAGGGCATTAGGTTCGGCAGTTGGCGTGGCCGTGTCGACGGCGATTCAGTACAGCGTGACCATCAGTTCGTTGCCCGCCAATCTGCCCACAGACGTTAGCTCGGCAGTCAAAGCTGGGACGTGGATGGTAGATGGCCCTGCACCTGCCTGGGACAATGCAGTTCTGGACGCCAAAATGAGGGGGATTAACCGAGTGTTCATCAGCTTCTTACCTCTCATCGGACTGTGCCTCTTGGGGTGCTTGTGGATTCGCGATATTCCCCTGCGTGGAGACGAGGACGAGGACAAGCAGACGATCCAAAAGCGACTGATCTCGAGGTATAGCAAGTTGACCGAGATGATGCCGAGGAAGGCTGGTGCTGGTTGATTGTGCATAACTGTGTCGTTTGGTAATTGACTTTGTGCTCCGGTAATGAAGGAGATTGAAATGTGGTGCGAGATGTGGAAACAAAGATGATTATGCACTGGCTGACGAATTGATACATTATTACCCGACGTCGCTCTTCCCATACATATTCCCTGCGCCCATTAACTCGACCCCCTCCTCCTCTTCATCCTCCTCCCTCTTTCGCCTATATCCTCCGTCTCTCTCGAACTTTAAGCCCCATCATGCCCTAGATGGGGGCTTGCAAAATCAAGGTCCAACGCGTATATCAACATAGTATCGAGAACAGCGAACATGGGCTAGAAAAATTGAGAGAGAAAGTAATCAATTTGGAGTAATGCGCTGGTAGACCTAGCTATGTATATGTGTTCCTGTTTGGCAATCTGAATGTGGAAAGCTCGCACTTTGACAATCTCCAACCGCGTGGGAGGAAGGGAGCTTTCCCCTTTGTCATGGCACAGCTATCTACACCTTGAGTTCGTCAATGACAGTAGCAGTTCCCTTGGCGAGTCCGCTGCTCTCGACCTGAGTCGCATCGACAATGAGTCTCCCGGCTGCGTCGTGAGTCTCATCCCACTCCTGGAGCTGATCGACTGGGACCTTGACGAGTTGATGCATATTGGCGCCACCCTCGAGTTGCTCGGTCTCCTGGCGAATGCGATATCCTCGCCATTTCGGGAGTGCGATGATCCAAACCCAGTAGTAGACTCCACAGAGGCCGACACTGGTGGTTAAGAACGTTAGCTGAGTCCCAGCAAGACAACTTGAGTGGAATACTTACATGCCAATGCCCACAACGACAGAGGTGGCATACCAAAAGCTAACGTTGCTTGCTCCTTTCACTGGCGGGTACCAGGGCATGACGACCATGTATAGGTTGACGAGAATGTTGAAGATGACAGCAGCGTCCCAAGCCCTGAACGGCCCACGCGGCAGGCCAGCCTTTCGGTGTCTCCAGCGGACAAGGTAGATGCCCACCGCCATCAAAACATTGAACATGGCAACCGGATATAACTGAAGACTGACGACTGTGAATGAAGAATGAGCATTCTGACGAGTGGTTCCAAGAGTGCCTTGAAATGAACATACCGAAATTGAAAGCATCCCCGGCCGGGGGAGCCAAGATCATGATCACTGTAAGAATATACTTTATCAAATACGGTCCTGCGGGAGTTCCGAACGGTCGTATCGAGGACCAGAAGCGTGGATATGGCAGGACACCTTGCCTGCCACATTCACGGGTGATTCTTGACACGCCAATGTTGCCAGCCAGCAAATTCCCGAACGCACTGAGCGCAATGAGAAAGTTGAGTCCCTTGACGGCACGACTCGAGCCGAAGACTTTCTCAAAGAACAAGGAGGCAGCAATCTGCTTGGAGGCTTTTAGCTCGTCGATGGGAACGGCTGCGATATAGGCAACATTGGCCAGAATGTAGAGGGTTGCCACAACAAGTAGCGAGACGGATGAGTATATCTTGATGACCTTGATAGGATTCTGGAACAAGTTTGTCAGCTTCGTTGCACTGTTGCCTTTTGACCTACGGGATCTCACCTTGACCTCGTTGACGACGTTGAAACTGTTGTTATATCCTCCGTAAGAGAAAATGATATACACCAATGCTTGGGTCAAACCATAAGGCTTATCTGAGGTGCCAGAGAAAGCGTTCTTGAAGTTTGCCGTAGGATTTTTCACGCTTGTGTGCCCTCCAAGGACAACCAGTCCAGTTATGCTGACGAAGATCAAAGTGATGAGCTTCACTGCCCCAACAGCGTTGGAAAAGATATATGCAAAGCGATTGTTGAATATAAGGACCACTATAACAACGGTCCATGCTGCCAAAGCCACCCCCTTCAACTCCCATGCCGTTGGTTCGTGGCCGTTGATTTGGAAAAGGTAGCTGGCAAGGACGATGCAGTTGCTAGAGCTGAAAGATAGGATCAGGTACCACAGCGCAAATGTGGTTGGGAAGAGCCACTTCGGTCGAGGATATGCTTGTTCCAGGTACACCACTTCGGAGCCAGATCGGTTGGGAAAGTAGGCGGCGTACTCAAGGTAGACGGCCAGCGAGGTGGCACAAAGGAGGAAGCCGAGGACCCAGTAGATAAATGAGAGGCCTACAGACCCGACACCAGACAGAATAGCGGCAGCTAAACCAAGTGTCAGTACTTCTTGAGACAGCATTGTCCGGAATCAATACTAACGCGTCGAGTAAACACCGGTCCCGATCATCATACTGATGTTAAGGAACAGGATCGTGATCCGCCCAACAGAATAGCCAAGCGGCGACTTGGTCTCGACAGGAGCACCGGATACTTCTTGATAGCTCGGGGGTGATTCATTACCACCCTGTTCCACGGTGTACTTGAATTCCCCATCGCCGACAACGGTATGTTGGATATCGGTCCCACTAACTGACACTTGGTGAGGGTTGTCCCTACCAGGGAGGAAGAACCTGTTTAGGATAGCCATTGATGAAGACCTGGCTCTGTCCCAACTCGAAGAACTCAATGTCGACACACAGACAGAGGGACTCGCTTATAAGTCAGGCTGTCGGCTGTTTTATGTTTGACATGGGCCAGGTCCTCCCCCACATGGCGATCAGAGCGTCCACCTACTCGGCGTCGTTTAAAAAATCGTCATGGTCAATTTGGATTGCACCATTTCGACCATCATCCGTAGCCGATTGAAGTTTTCGCTCTGCAAGGACCCTGTCGCTCGCTAATCGTGCAGCAATGGTCCAAGGGCGAACATGGCTGCGTCTCTCAGCTCCTGTTCCGGTGCTCAATGGCCGGCGTTGTAGTCGTGATCTGCTCAAACAATTGCACCATCACTCATAGGCGTAGAGGCGATGCTAGATCAACTGATATTCTGGATTTACCAATGGTTGCTCTGTCTTGTGTCGTCTTGATGGTTGTAGAAAAGTATATTTGAGGATTATTATCAAGCAACGAGTATGCATAAATGAATATGTGCCAAGGCCAATGTTGATGCATCACTGGTTCGGTGGAGTATCTCACAAGGCCAAAGTGAACCTTGAATCTAGAACACAACAACTGCGCTCGTGCATCCCTCCTAGGACCATTGCCGAGGTCAAGGGCGAGAAAAAGCGCAAATATGTGTCGCGTATAGGGAATAAGAGAATCCCGTGGCGGAATGGAGCCAGGGGCACGTCGACTTTGCTTCCGTCTTCGCCAGAGAGAAAAAACTCTCCTTCGTATGATCAAGGAATAGCCTGATGAGACTTCGGCAAACAAACGGGAGCCTTGTTGATCTCGGAGGACAAACTAATGCCCAAAGTGTCTGTTAAGACTATTGCCGTGCTGCAACGCTTTAGTGAGCACAGCCGTGGCCCCATGATTGTCCGCGGAGACTTTGTGTGTGCTTCGTCGTAGTGAGAGGGCCAAGGTCCGATTTCGTCAGAAGCGCGACATATGAGCCATCATCGGCAAGCTCCCGCTCCCCAAAGAGGTCAAGATCGTCCCTTGTAAAAAGCTATATAAGAGTAGTGCCATTCATCGGGCTTCATAAGGCAGAGACACTTAGCCGTTGCTGCTGTCGCTCGCCAAATAGCCGAGTCATCAGAGTAAGTGCGGCGTCGAGTGAATTGATGTTAATGTAACGAACCTTTGGTCGTCAATGTCGCAATCACCAACAAATATAGAAAAGTAGGCGCTAGGACAAAAACGGCAACGCTGCCACGGGCCGAGCCTCAGCCGACCAGCCAATCAACTTCGAATCATACACGTGGCGGCACGTGGTTAGTCATCTGAGTGTCTACCTCTCGACCTCAAGCAACGACCTGCTTCTGACCATGCAGCCCTTCTTGTAACCTATAGGCCGAGACTGCTGTTTATGACGCTGCTGGGTGCCAACCCCTCACTCTTGTAAAAATGCGTTTTGACTTGCCAGCGAAGACACTCCCCACGCCACCCATTGTTTGGCATCATTTGGACCTCTTTCTCTTGTCCACCAAGCATCTCGACATCGAATCGGCAGAAGTGGATCATTCTGCCCTCAAAGAAATCAGATAGTATCGGTATCAGATCCGAACTTCATGATTCAACACGATGCCAATTCACGAGATCACCGGAAACACTCAGAGTCGCTTCATTCAGGCTGCGGCCCTCCTCCACTTACTCGATCCTGTCCGTGGCGAACCAACAGCATATGGCCTCGATCAGGACTCGAGCACACTTGAGCAGAATCGGGAGCGACTTCTAAAGCGCAAGTTTCTCGATTCTTTTGCTCTTATCTGCGCACGGAAGAAAGATGGTGATACCGTCTCCGCGGCTTGTTTGGAGGAGGGTCATCCGGAAGGAACGATAGTTCGCATTGCAAGTAACCAGGGCGTCTCACAGTCCACACTTGACGAGTTGCGAGAATTGGTGGCTATTCTGAATGGCGTTGCCGGCGGAGGTGAGTAGCATCACTACGTCAACCCAACCACCGATTTATTGTAGCTCTCTTTCGCAGAGTATGTCGCATCCGATACGGAACAGGAGGTCTTGACCCGAATCACGAGCCTCGATGCTGTCAGAATACGGTCCTATCTGAAAGATATTCGCAGCGTTGGTAACGATGTGAAGGACATGGTCGAGAGTTTCAGTGCAACACCTGCGTTTCTAGAAATCGACCACGCATTAAGCTTCCCGAGATGGATTGCACACGTCTTCACGATACGAGATCTACCTTCGGAATCTACTCCTGAAGATCTTGTCCGTCATGTTCAATGGGCTGTGGAGGCTCGGCGAACTTACCTAACGTGCCTCAGAGCATTATTCCCCACCAACTTGCCTCGATGGGTCTACGCAATCCTCAAGCTTGGACGGTATGCGATTGCCTCCACGGTCTTGCTCGCGTTTGCATCCGAGTTTCCGACTCTATTCAATCCGATGCTTGTGGAACCTACCATCGCCCCTCCGAAAAGCACATTCAAATGTGTGGGGGAAGAGATGCCCTTGACGAGCGTGCTTCGAAGACTTGCCAGTGACCAGGAGGCGAAGCACTATGTCTCCCGCCTGGCTCAGATCTGGGGGGCTCGGGACCCTGAAGTCCATTTCCGAAACACTTGCAATCTGCAGCTGTCTGTTCATGCTGAGATGCAGCTCGTCAATTTTTACGATAACAACCCCTATAGCAGACCGTTCTTTCGCTTCATCGGGGTTAGCAAGAAATCATGTTTTCTGTGCCAGCTGTTTCTCGCAAGGCACCCGCAATCATTTAACATTGCATCTTGCCACCAGAAGCTCTATCTCACCTGGAGGCCTCCACCTGCAGCCAATCCGACTGTCTACAGACAGTACAAGGCTATTGTGGCTGACCTGAGCAAATCCATGGAGTCGACGGCGAAACAAGAACTTAAAGATCGTCTCGGTCTCCGACGGCCTGTTCCGCCAGATTCAACGGCTGGCGTGTCCATCTCAGGTCTGATGGATCTTGACGAAAGACCGCATGGCGTGTCCACAACCTTAGAGATGGCCACCACGTCAATCAAATCCGTCGTAGGGGGTGGCGAAGCACATGTAACAACAGCATCGCTTCAACCGATCCCGGTGGTGGATGTTTCATCCCCAGATGAGGAATTGACCTGGACCCCTTACAACAGCTATCCAGTCGGCGACTCACTCTCAACCACCGAAATGGTCTTGCATGTGCTACGCCCGAATGAACCCCAGCGTCAGGACATCATCGCCATACGTGATATCATGGACCGATTCACCGGAAACCCATCCTGGGCTAAACTGGTCGATCTCCTCATGGATGAGTCAGGGGTCGGTCTCAAGGGCGGAGACTGTCTGATGGTGAAAAATCGGATCCGAGTTGGCAACGAGAGGCAGCTTCTTGCTTGCCTGCAGTACTTGCGGAATGAGGCCGTGTTGAACTCGGAAGTCCATGTACGCAATTTCAGCACAGAGTCATAAGGCGAGAAGCAGCAGGCAGGAGGGTCCATATAAGGGTCTAAATCGGACATCGTGGCCACTATCACAGTGCATCTGAATCGCAATAGTAGTAGTAATCTTTCGCTGCGGCGGGTACAAGGGGAATCTCGGCGTAGCGACCAAGTACACGTGACGAGAGACCCAATCCCTGATCCCTACGACCACGCCCCCCAAAACGCTTCAACAACGCATCGGGCCGTACAGGATCTGCAGGTTGATCTAAACCGCTGTTCACCGAGCCAAAGAAGAGTTCCAGATCTGTGACACTTACCCTTATTTGAACCCTCTAAACACTTCAGATATCATTCCCGGATAGAGATACAACCATTGAATTTTGTCGGGCCAAGTAAATAGGTAGTGTTCTATATTCTATCAGAAAAATTAAAACTTCAATCTGTGGGTCCTGTCCAGAAGGTCAGATCGCTTTGAGAATCAAGCAACCAAGATGCGCGAGGCAAAGAGGCCGGAAACCCAAAGATACGAGGATCATTCCCCACCCCGGCCCAATCTTCGAGGACATTTTTGGTGATGCAAAGGCGCAAAAGATCCAAAATATTTCTGGCTGCTGCTTTTTCTAGACACCCTTGAGGCTGTTGTTCCTCACGGCCTGAAGGTCCACCTTCTTCAGCGTGTCGGCCACGTGGACCTTGCCGCCGTCGGTGATCATGGGCGGGCCCTGGTATCCCTTGCGGGCGCCCAGGAACCACCACGCGGCGACGAAGATGGTGAATCCACCCCAGATCAGGCAGGCGTAGTTCATGGTCTGGGCGTCGGTCGGGAGGTAGTACGGGAAGCAGTAGATGACGAACCAGACCATCATGTAGGCGCAGGCGATGAAGTTGAAGACGAAGCCCAGGGCGCCTTTGAGGTGGAAGGGCCCGTAGACTTGGATGTTGCGCCGTTTGGTCAGGAGATGGGGCAAGATCGCAGCAATGTAGGCTATTAGGGGGAGAAATCTGACGTTAGCATCGAACAGTGCAGCCTTACGATGTGGGAGATATGCGAGGGGGTTTTCAGACGGGGGAAAAGGGGTGGTCATTCCAAGTTCAGCCTAGCTAGCTAGGGGCGCCAGTTCGTGGTGGAGAGAGTGCTGTGGTGGAAGGAGAGTGCGACTTACAGGAACTGGAAAGCAGGACGAAAGATCCGACAAAGGCGTTGAAGGCGGTGGTGCTGCCGACATAGATGGCTCCGAGGATCGTGACCAAGATGGCGGACACGATCGTCGAATTGAACGGCATACCCAGCCTCTGGGATACCGTGCCTAGGATCTTGGGGAAGGGCGTCGCCCCATCTCGCGAAAGTGCCCATAGAGTCCGACCGCACGTAATGTAGAGTCCACACACGCAGATGCCGATGCAGATCAGGACGAGTGTAAGGAGGCCAATGGCGCCGTTGGCCGAACCGGTGGCTTGTCGGTAGATCTCAGCGATCGGGTATGGGGAGTCGAAGAGAGCATCGTAGTCGTTGATCGCGTACAGGATAGCAATCAGATAGGAGAAGCCGGTGATGAAGCCGATGCTCATCTGGCATGCAATAGCGATAGGGACGTTCCGTTGAGGGTAGGGGATTTCTTCCGCAAGATGACTTGACTCGGGCGTTAGCACTTGTTGTCGCACGATCTCTCTTTCTCAGACAGTTCCTGACCTTGTAGTGTCTGGGGTTCCCACGCTAAATGCTCCGTTGAGCATACCTGCAACAAATACGAACTAAAACCCAGCCTCGGTTAGTAAGCTGAATGGTTGAGAAGATCCCTCTGCCGCTGCTTTGAGAGGTGGCAAAACTCACCCCATTAGGATACCCAATGTCGGCAGTCCATTCGGTCCAAACAAAGGACGAAGACGCATGGCCGGGTCGACCGTCCTGGCCTGGCATGACAGTCCTGGAAAGTGTTAGTAGTCCCCTCTCATAAGGTTTGTCAGAGAAAGATTGTACTCACACCACGATGATGGTGATCAAGAAACCCGCGAGGACGAAGAAAATGCCCACATTATTCAGATGCGGCATGGCCGTGTTGAAGAAGCACACTATTGGGCATGCGATCCAGGTAACGATCACATATGTAACAAAGACATGCCATGGCTGAGAAACGAAATCCGGATGCTTCAGGGCATACCTGCTGCTTGTTAGCACGTCGATGACAATCCCCGACACGAGACCTCCTCACATCTGAACGACTGTATTTGACTACGCGACACTCCAGTTAGCAAATAACACAGACTATTCTCCATCTTTCGTAACACTCACAAAAATCGATGTCATGGACGCAGCACCCAGAATCCAGGCGAGACAGTTCCACCATCCAGCGAAGAATCCTACGACGCGGCCCCATCGCTTTCCCGGAGTGACTGAGGCCCAATGATAGACGCCAGCGGAAGATGGAATGGCAGACGCCAGTTCAGCGATGCATGCTGCCACGATCCAGTAGAAGACGGAGACGACGAGGAACTCGTACAGCACGCCTGGTGCTTCCTGTTAGCCATGCTTCGTGAGCTCGCAGAAGAGGCGCACACACCGGGTGGGCCGCCGTTGAAGATAGCGACCAATATCGAGCCTCCGATGGCTGGCCATACATTGCCCACGACAAGGCCGACACCGGCGAGGGAAACAAGACTGAAGTTTCGCGACAATTCTTGGGCATGACCAGAGGCGTTGATGAAATTTCCCCCCGACTCGGAAGCTTCTGACTCTGTCGCGAGCTCTGGGTTTTCGTTCTTGTCGGCCATCTTGGGGATCAGCGCCGGACACGAGGAAGTGAAGAACTAGAAAGGGGACAAGAGGAGCAGAGCGGAATTGACATAAGTGAAGAGAGATAATGAAGAGGGCAGGTAAGACTAGACTTCGTGTAGGTACATGAAAAGCGTGGAGAAAAGCTAGACCCCTACCAATGAAGGCAGATTGGTGACCTTTGGATAGTGTCTTTCTCCACAATGTCGCTTCGAAGTTGTTCTCCGTTCACAATACAAGTACCCAGCAGTACAGCTGGTCTCGCCACGAATGGATTCTTAAGTGACTGGGTCGGTGGTGGAGGTCTGGACAGGGTTCGTTCTCCTCGGCCGGATCATGTGATTGGACAGGAACCTTGATTTTCCTCCCGCCAAGCCAGGAACTGCTTCTCCCTCTGGTTTGATGCGGCGGAGAATGCCAAGACGCGATGGGGATTTTCCGCGCTAGCCGCTTCAAATTTTTCTTGTCTCCCACTTAAAGCCTCCACCCCTCTCCTTCCGTGAGCAAACCATGTGTCAATGGAATCATGTTCTGCAACCCAGCTATCATGAGTGTAACCTATTCAGTCGATTGCACCGACCCCTCAATCAGGCGGTTATGGGTCTCACTTGTTTCTCTCCTTCACGTAAAGTACATGTCCTTGTACTTGTTGGTAAGCCTGGTAAGGTACTACCTGTACGCGAGCCACTGGAACTCCTTGGTACAACCCAGCACGGCCGTTGAGGCCCCCCTCTGATGGAATCTGGCGAGATCGCGTACCTGAACATGGCACGTCGCTCGATACAGACCTACCATGTGGCAAGTGGCGAAGACAGGGTCCTTGAAGCCCTGACCAGGTTCCAATTCCCAACGCTTCAGCGAACGAACTAGTGCAACAACCTCCTGCCCAGCCATGCCAACCTGCCCCTCCGAGTATGCTTCAGGTACCGCAGCCTTAGCCTTTAAGGCTCCCGGCAGCGCACATCCCGAAACAGACAAATACCTCGTTACATGCCCAGCATTGGTTGATATGGTGTGAAAAGTGGGAGAACCGAGTCATTGTCCACCCCCTTTTCTCATTTTCCACCGTTTCTTGTGGGTTCCGCAACTAGGTTTTGAACGACACTCCACATGCTGTCTGAGCTAGAGGGGATATTGCAACGTCCCTTTTGAGACTGTTATCTCTCGGCGGCTTCGGCGCTGGAAACCCAAGAGACCCCAGAAAGTTACTTGTACCTCGTACACCACTCGTATTATCTATTCAAACATGGGAGGACCCACGAACCCCGTCTGCGCAGTGAACTCTCCATCTTTCTCTGCTCACATCGACTGCCATTACCAACCTCTCAACGTTGCCTCTGCCTGAGCAGTTCATCGGAAGACAGCACTCATGTCGACGAATCCCAATCCCGGCTTCGTCCCGGAATCATGGAGTTTATATGGCGTGGGCGCATTCCTGGTGGTCTTGCGACAGTCCGTACCAACAAGGCCTTGCGGCCACTGTTCATGAGAAGACCCTTCTAACGTGCCATGTACAGGATCGGGAGGATCAAGCGGGTGGGCATCAAGCACCTTGAAGTCGACGACGCCCTCATTGGCTTCGGTTTTATTGCCTATACGCTGCTTGTGGTGGCTTTCAACCAGATGCTAGAAGGACCAGGATCCAATTTGATGACACCTGAGGAGGAGGCTGCGCTCACGCCAGAGATCAAGGAAGGGCGCGTCAGAGGGAGCAAATGGGTTTTTGTGTCTGAACATGCAGAACTACTCACAATCTGGAGCATGAAGGCTGGTGAGTTCAAAGGGCTGATCCCTTCCCTTTCAGGCCACCTATTGTCCAGGGCAATCGTGAAGTGGACATTGCGTGCTGACAGGACACACCTAGCCATGCTGGTTCTGTATGCCAAGTTGATCGACAAGACACGACAGCGACGATTGCTCTGGGGGGTCGTGATCTGGGTTTGTATCGCTTTTGTGGGAGATGAACTTGCCCTCTTTACCATCTGCCGTCCCCTTTCTCAGTATTGGGCCGTGCCGGCTGAAAATTGTGAGTTTCTCGTGTTCTTTTCATGTTAAAACCCCTTCACAATGCTGACATAACACGCCAAAAGCGCAATGCTCTAGCTACCAATACTATCAGATTGTCAACGCCGTTTTCAACATCTCGACCGATATCCTCATCATGCTGATGGGTATCCCACCAGTCTTGTCCGCCCGACTTTCGCTCCAGCAAAAGTTGATTCTCGGCATCATCTTCGGCATGGGCGGCTTCGTGATCGTGGCCGCCATCCTGAGGGCCATCTACTGCCTGGTCCCCTCACTGATCTCCTACGTCTACATGAACTGGTACTTCCGCGAAGCCTCCGTGTCCATCTACGTGACGACCCTGCCCGGAATCTGGGTGTTCCTTAAGGAGATGTTCCCCATCATCCAGAGACTCACGAGCCGGCCGGCCACCAAACCCACCAATTCCCGCACCACCGAGCCGCAAAAGCAGACGTCGTACTGGAATGAGCCCAGCAGACACCACCGCAGCCAGTTCGACGCGAAAGACTTGGACTATGACATGGACACATACCCAATCAGCAAGTCCATCGTCACCACTACTGAGGGTGACCTCGGCAGTCACGGTGTCCACAGTGACAGTGCACACGGCGATGCGGATTCGACCAACTCTATGCGATATGACTCAACACTCAACGAGATTAGGTGCGACAAGACATTTACCGTTGAGAGGATTCCGCGTGATCGACTTTGAGTGTGGAGCTGAAGAGTGATGGAGGGAAAGGTCCGGGAGACTCTCGCACCCAGAAAGAATGCCGCATCGATGCGAAAAAAGAACAAAACCATGCTCACGTTTCCTTGTTGTTCGCAAGATTAGCGCCATGTATGTATGATGTTAAGATGCACCAATGCAAAGGGGAGGCCGTCTGTTGTTGTTTTTGACCGTGATAGCTTAGGAATCAGGCTCGATGTACCATGTATGTTAGAGATGACATGTCGCAAGACACAACCCACGAGGCTGGTTACGAAAGGATGGGATGGGTGGCTCAGTCTTTCTTGTAACATTGTCCTGAATCGACGGAATCGAAGTGTGATTGAGGTCGGCTTGTCTGTCATTTACCGATTTGGCCCGGTACGAGGCCTGTACAGAGCACGTACCGAGTACATTCATCTAGGTAAAGACCCGATACTCCGCTTGGGGGGACTGGAAATGGTTTCCGCCCATCCGGTCAGCGTCAAGCTCCTTTGTATATTGCCGGCTCTGATGTAAGTTGTCCTGTTTATTTTCAATGTGGCAGCCTACTCGATGATTGATGAGAATGATTTTTTCGGTCACCGTGCAGGAAACAACCCCGGGTGTAATCGGTGTTTGTTTGTGAGCAGCTTGGCAGCCTTGCAGTCTTTTACCGAGTTCGGCCAAGGCTGAGGCTGATGCTGAGGCTGTGCAGGGTTTTTTCAAGGCAGCCTGGCCTCCAACCCGCTTGTTTTAATCAAACACATCCAGTTCCTCGTTCTCGTCAAGTCTGTCATCCTCACTGTTTGAAACGAGACACCCGCCTTTCGGACACTTTGTCTTTCAAGGCCCTGACTATCGCGCGCGCAATGATGTCCTTTTACAGCCCGCAGAAATGACCATAAGACCCTCGCCCGCTGACTGTCCCCCTGCTGGCGCGATCAGTGACATGATTTTGGATAACAAATGAATTCAAGCCTCACTCTCGCAGATCAACGACCATACCATAGCATCTCAAGCTATGTTTCGGTTCGCAAGTGCCATTCCATCTCTTAGGGGAGTGTCCAATGTATCGACCCAGAATCATCCAAAATCTTCGGGAGAGGCGGATGATCAGGTGCCCCCATTAACAGCAATCTCCCCGGGTAATGATCATGACGCAACACCCATACAGGGCATACCCTCTTGGGCGCGAGAAATGAGCAACGCACGAGTGAATCGACACAGTCGAGCCTCGTCCATTATCTCCACCCAGTCCAAGTTCACCACAACGACATTGCAAGAAGATGCGCGCAGCATTGACATCAATGTCGGCGGCCAGTATTTTCGAATTAGTCGGGATGGCTCCAAAATCACGGCTGATGCACCCCCTCCGTACACCGGGCCAGGCGAAACGTTGCGCTTCCAAAGAGACCGAACAAGCGATGTTATGAGTTTAGACAGTCGAATCGAAGCAAGTGTTCAAGACGTCGAGGAAGAGAACTTGGAGGGGGATGGGGCCGTTACTCCGAGGTCAGCATTCCAAGCCATCGATCAAGATGCTGTTTTCCGAGCCAATCTGTTGGATCCGACACCTATTGAAATACCGTCACCCGTGCGACATGATCAGCTTACCCACCGCTCGTCCTCGGCCACGCTCGTCATCAGCGAGAGCACGTCTACTCCTGTTAGTGAGTTTGACCAAAGCCTGGTCAATGAAGAGGACCCTGGAACTCAGTCTGGTCGGAATCCAGATTATAGCAGAAGAAGGGTGGTTTCAGAAGATCTGATGCTCGACAGAGCCGATCTGACGCCAAAGTCGTCTCCAATGAGAGCATACCGGGAACGCTTGCCTCGACTTATTACGTCGGGTGAGATTGTGTGGGCTAGTCATTGCCCTCAATTATATCGACAGCGTGCCAACTCATGGGGAGGACGTCCACTGCAAATCCGGTCCGCTGGCGCAATCCTTGGTGATGTGTCTGACAATGGTGTACCACGATCCCCAGATTATATAGGAAGAGACGCACGTGGAATGTTCCATTTCCCTACCAGAGCAGCCACGACCCAGATTACCAGTACTCGCAGAGACGGCGAGTCGTCAGCCAGTGGACCAATGCCTCTCGACGTGAGCGAGACGTTGGACGAAAGCAATACACCTCTACCGATGGACAACGAGAATGACATTTCCCTGCACTACGCGCGGATGATGCGGAAATTGGACTCTTCGCATCGCAAGGCACTCCTCATCAAGGACAAACAGTTGGCGGAACTTCAGGAGAAACTCAACGAAAAAGACATCGTTTTGAGACAGCAGCTACGGGCCAAAGACTTCATCATTGACGACCTCAAGAAACGCTTGAGTAACTTGGAAGGGAACATAGAGGTTATGCTAGAAAAGGCCCGACATCAAGTCGAGGATCTGTGGGAGGCTCGGTGGAAGGATCGTGACTTTCATCTACGAGAGCGCATGAGACGCATCGAGGAGGAAGCCCAGAAGGCCATCGAGCGGATGAAGGCTTGTCAAAATCCGTGCGAAAGATGCGCGAAAATTGGTGAGTAGAGGGGAGTTGACTTCTACAAGACCCAACGCCGCCAGGAATGACCAGGAGGTGACGATCGAAACGAACATTGAGGGAGGATGAGGTTCCTTTCTGCCGTATTTGTAGACGAGAGATGACCTGAGATAAACAGCTGCGACGTATAATGGGGGAGTAGGTTTCCAGATATAGGAACCAAGAGATATCCAAGAACCAAGGACAGCGGTGATGCCTCTGGGATTGTTGTACTTGTACGAGGTAGATACAAATATTAGTGTCTGGTGTTGGCCAACCATTCAGATTTCGAGCACTCTGCAGTTTGTCAATGGAGCTTTAGTGACCCCGCCTGTTCCCCTGCCGCCCCTTATAGGCGTTGGTTGGCTCTGGCTAAACACAAGTGGGGGTGAGCGATAGGCTGATGAGAGCCTGGAGAGGAAGTACAGCCTAATGCCTAAGAACCTACTGTAAGTGCTTGGGTCCTTTCCCCCGGGACGCGCCTAGGGATCGGGGATCGCGCTTTTTAGGTAGAGTGCCAGCCAACCAGAATTAGGCATCATCGTCCAAAACAATCACCGGTGACTTCATTCCCAATCCCCAGTCCGAGTCCTGTTTCTCGCAGCTTCTCACCCCACGCAGTTTCCTCAACACTTACCATACAACAAAAAACCTCAACAACATCTGGCCTTTTCCCGCCTCCACCTCCACCCCTTCTCCCCAGGTGACTTCCAGTGTCAATAGTGTAATGGCTCTTCTCTGTTGACTCCTGTACCTTCTTCTCTTCTCTCCTTCTTGACACCTGCCTCTTCCATCTTGTCTCTCGGTTTGACTCTACCTCATACAGCGTCCTCAGATCCCCAATCGACCTGCATTCCTGTGTATGGGCCGACTCGCCCTTCCTCCGTTCGACGGAACCTGTCGTTGAGTCTTACTCAGGCAACCTCTCTGTGCCCCTTCCGTCTCCTACCTCGATTGTATCCTCGGAAAGAGCTGGGCTATGCCGTCTCAGGCACCGTCGTCCAAGGAGGCTCCCCCCAAGGCTGCCCCGCGCGGGCGAGGCAAGAAGAAGGGCAACCAGCTGCAAAAACCATGGCTTTATGACTTGGTTCTATGGGCACTCTCAGTCCTGATAGATCTCTTCTTTCGGGAAGTCCATCCCAGAGGAGCATGGAAAGTCCCAAAAACAGGACCGGTCATCCTTGTGGCAGCACCACATGCTAATCAGGTATGCCATATACACACTTTGTGCCTGGCCACTGTACTAACACCCCATAGTTTGTCGACTCTCTGATTCTGATGCGGATTCTCAAACACGAGGCCAAGAGAAGGATTTCATATTTGATTGCTGAAAAATCAACGAAACGCAAATTCATTGGGACTCTCTCAGCAGCGATAGGGGCCATCCCTGTTGGCCGGGCTCTCGACAAAGTCAAACCAGCAAAGGGCAAGATATTCCTCCCCGACCAAGATAACGATCCTACCTTAATTCAAGGTGTTGGCACCGATTTTACGAATGGCGATTTTGAGGTTGGCGGGTTGATAGTCCTCCCAAAAGTGAGAGGTCAGACCCCCAGCACGGAAATCGCAGAGATCATCTCCCCGACCGAACTTCGTCTCAAAAAGCCCTTTAAGTCGCCAGAGGCTCTGGAGTCCTTGACCGGCAATGGCACCGTTGGTGGGGATACTACAAATGAACAGATTGAATCCCGCGGCTGCTCATTCAAAGTTGCTCCGTATGTGGATCAAACCAAGGTCTACAATGCAGTATTCGACGAGCTCGACGCTGGTGGCTGTATTGGCATCTTCCCGGAAGGCGGCAGTCATGACCGGCCCGACCTCCTACCTCTGAAAGCAGGCGTGGCGATCATGGCCCTGGGTGCCGAAGCCCAACATCCTGGATGTGGTGTCAAGATCATCCCAATCGGTATGAACTATTTTCACGCCCACAAATTCCGATCGAGGGCTGTCATTGAGTTTGGACATCCTATCGAGGTTCATCCCGACCAAGTCGAAGCATATAAGGCAGGCGACCGGAGAAACGCGGTCGGCTCACTACTGGAAACAGTGTTCCAGGGTTTAGTGGCTGTAACACAATCGAGTCCGGATTATGACACCCTGATGCTTGTGCAAGCGGCTCGCCGACTTTACAATCCGCTAGGGAAGAAACTCCCTCTGCCGTTGGTGGTGGAGTTGAACCGGCGACTAGTGAAAGGGTACACGACATACAAGGATGACCCGCGTGTTGTCCAACTGAAAAAAGACGTCCTTGAATACAATCGTCAACTTCGCGCCCTTGGTCTCCGAGATCATCAAGTGGAATGGGGTAACCCCGCCAAACATCCGTGGTGGCACATTCTTGGAACGTTGATCTATCGACTCGGAGAGCTTTTCTTCCTAGGCATTGGCACTCTTCCCGGGCTGGCCATGTTTTGGCCTGTCTTTGTTACCACCAAAGTCATATCGTATAAAAAATCCAGAGAAGCTCTTGCGGCATCGACAGTGAAACTGCAGGGTCGAGATGTTATCACCACATGGAAACTGCTCGTGGCAATGGCATTTGCTCCCGCACTGTACGCCTACTATACCATTATTGTTTCCCTATGGCTGGTTTACAATCGGCGCGATGGATACTATACCCACAGGGTCCCGTGGTGGATGGTGGCCCGCACATATGTGCCCGACTTTGTTCCCATCTGGCTTTTTGCTGTTGTTTTTCTGATTTTGTGTATCCTCATCACCTTTGCTGCTCTGAGGATAGGAGAAATAGGCATGGATGTTGTCAAGTCGTTACCGCCACTCTTTGTGGCGCTCAATCCACGCTCCTCTAGCCGATTTGCGAAGCTGCAACGGCGCCGCCAGGCCTTGTCCGAGAAGGTAACCAAGGTGATCAATGAATTGGGACCCGAGGTTTTCCCCGACTTTGATGCTGCGCGGATTGTGCCAGATGCATACAGAGAAGGAGCGTACCAATCTAGGTACAAAAAGATGCCCGAGGAGCCGAGAATCGAAACAACCGAGCCTACGACACCCACTTCTGGTGCTTTCGAAGATCGTACCGGCGAGTCACCTGGTTCGAGGTCGATGTTACCCTTTGGGTTTCTGCCCTCGAACGAAGCCTTCCACAACATTGGCGGATTTGGCTTCTTTGCGTCGCGGCCTACGACACCCAAGAGCCGCAGCAGGAGCAGTTCTGCCGGTGGAGCACTTACCTCGGCCACCAGCTTAAAATTGACCACGTTGGACCATGATGAAGTCAGTAAGCGCATCCGTGGGGCCATGCGGGAAAGAGGAAGGAAGCGTGAAAGCGAAGGAGCAGAAACCGGGACGGAAAGCAGCTGGGACATGGCTGATGATGAACGAATGACTCCGACAACAGAAGATGAGGAACCTAAGAAGGACCGGTGAGGCGGGGGAATTGGGCACTACAACGAGAATTATGATGTGAATGTCAAGCATATGAAGGACGGACACAAACTGCGAGTAGAGGTGTCTTGGTCGTCCCAGTGTTTTACAGTGTGCATTTTTGGACTATTGCTTCGATACCCTTTTTGATAGATGCATCGGAAATGATTTAGCATGTTCAGAGATTCACATACACGTGTTTTTCAAGGGAGTAGCCAGTCTGGACTCCGCAAAAACCCAAGTTCTAGGAGTTGGAAACAAGATTTCATGGCTAAGAAGCGAGGGGATCGACAATGGGGAAAGATGGTAATTCGAAGGGTAGGGGTGGCGTTGTGTTGGACCACTGGACTTGATAATAATATTAATATGGGGCGCAGGCGTCGGATGGTGGTGGAGACGCCGCCAGACGCTTCGAGCCTTTGTTTGCATCATGCCAACCACAACACATGCGATCGACCGTCGCAAACCTGCATGAGCCCATCCACACACCTCATCGAAACTGCCACAGACAAAACATCCCTCTTTTCCCCATCGTGGTCTCTACAGCATCTTGTTACACATGGTCGGGATATAGCTTTACAGGCCATGCTGCCACTGTTCCTTGTCCAATCACCATTCTTTTCGAGTCATCGAAGTCTGCAGTCTCCTCCGAGCAACATTTGACCAATACGTGCCACGCCGGGCCCGGGCCCATGTACCACGAGACCTCGATCTTTGGCTCCTACTTCTGCCGGGACTGCTAGATGAGTTGCTCCTGTTGCTGCTCGCAGTGCTGCATCTCCCGTCCCCCCACCCGCAACTACATCTCGACCCAACGGTTGCTGCTCAGCGCTTCAAATAGGCCTCTCTCCACCTTATAACGACGCCCCCAGTATATCATTTCGGCTTGAAACCACCCCATACCATATACCTCCTTGCTGTTTGCCTCTGCGGAAATGGCTCCCTTTCGTCTAGACGAGGGCTTCTCGGAAGATGTGTCGAGTCAGGAAGAACATGGGCGCATGGCTACAGCCACAGCCGCAAGTTTTCAAGAGTGGGTCATGACACAGAATGAACAGGCACGCGCCGAAATCGCATACGAAGTCTTGCGAACACTACGAACATCTAAAATCGCGGCCGTGGTCGAGCGGCTGACACCACTCCTACATCTCGACCCGTTGGAAAAACTGCCACCAGAAATCACCTCACAGGTATTCTCCTACCTGGACGCGGAGACTCTGTTGACTGCTTCACTGGTTTCAAAGACATGGAGAGCACGTATCATGGACACGATGTTGTGGCAGGAGTTGTACAAGAGGGAGGGGTGGGGTCTTGACACAAAGGAGGTCGGCAAATTTGAGAGCGCCCTCATGCGACAGGAGGCTAAAAGGGCAAGGATGCTGCTATCGGGCCAGCCTCAGCTAAAAAAACGAGCCACCTCCGACTGGTTGGAGTCAAAGGGGCGGAAAGTCTCTGCGGACGTTTCTCAGTGGAAAGAGCAGCATGGTGTGATAGAGGCTGACGAAGACATGAAATCCGAGTCAAGTGATGATCAAGAAATGCAAGATGCTCCTACCAGCATACACAATTCCCCGCAGCGGCCGAACAAGAGACAAAGTGCAGATTCTGGGGATGAGATGGATTATTTGTCGGATGCAGTCCCCAGAGATGACAGTCTTTCCGCGAGCAGAGGTGCCCAGTCTCCTGACCCTCCGATCAAGACAAAGCTCGTCACCTATGGCTCTAATGGCGAGGAAAAGCTGAATTGGATTCATCTTTATAAGCAGCGCCAGAAGCTGGAACAGAACTGGACCAAGGGTCGATATACTACCTTCCAGCTCCCTCATCCCTCTTATCCTCAGGAAGCACATACAGAGTGTGTATACACCGTCCAATTCTATGGGAAATGGTTGGTAAGTGGCAGTCGCGACAAGACGCTGCGAGTTTGGGATCTGGAGACCCGCCGTTTGAGGGGAAAGCCTCTATCCGGTCACTCTCAGTCAGTGCTCTGTCTTCAATTCGATCCGACGGAGAAAGAAGATGTCATCATTTCTGGCAGCAGCGACGCAAGCGTCATCATCTGGCGGTTCTCGACAGGCCAGAAAATCCACGAAATCCCCTCTGCACACGAAGAGTCCGTTCTTAACCTGAGGTTCGATCACCGGTATTTGGTCACTTGTTCCAAAGATCGACGCATCAAAATTTGGAATCGGAAGTTATTGACCGCGACGGATAAAGATTACCCTCAGGTCAGACGCGGCGGCCAAGCGCGGGTGCCATCATATATTGTCAACACTGCGGAGATGGAGCCGTCTCTCTTGGAAGCAAGGCTCGCCAACGGGTCGATCCGGGCGCTGAAACCATACACGCTTCTGCTGACCCTCGAGGGACACAGCGCTGCCGTCAACGCTATCCAGATTAACGGCGATCTCATTGTATCTGCCTCGGGTGATAGACTCATCAAAGTCTGGAATGTCAAGGATGGAAGGTTGATTCGGACGCTACAAGGACATCAGAAGGGAATTGCCTGTGTCCAGTTTGACGACAGACGTGTCGTCAGTGGGAGTAGTGACAACACCGTACGGATATTCGACCCCTATTCCAGCGCCGAGGTGGCAGAGCTTAAAGGCCATACGAATCTTGTGCGGACCGTACAGGCTGGGTTCGGTGACCTCCCTGGAAGTGACGAAGAGGACACGGCCAAGGCAAGAGCCGCGGAGTGGAAATTTATCGAAAGTCTCGTGCAAGGTAATTCGGCGCAAGACAGAGCGCACAGTCGACACAACAGGAATGACACCTCGGGAACCTCTCGGTTCTCTCTGGGCTCTAGATTACCACCTGGTGGAGGTGGCAGCAAATGGGGTCGGATCGTCTCGGGATCATATGACGAGACAATCATCATATGGCGCAAGAATGCGTCTGGAGACTGGGTTATTGGACAAGTGTTGCGTCAAGACTCTCCATCTCAGAGCCACGAAGTTCGTGCTCGACCGCGGCACGGTGCTGCCACTGGCGTACAGCACGCTCCGCTACCAGTGATGCAGCCTCCTCTCAGCCTCGCATCGCTCACGGCGGCAGGGTCCCAACCCCCTCCAGCAGCGGCCCAGCTGGCTCCTCTGGACCTCACTGATCCTGCTGAAGCAACCCGTCGAGCCGTCACGACAGCAACATCACAGGTCATGCAGCAGGCAATGGGGACATCGATAGCGAACCTGGGCGCAGGCCTCACCAACGTCATGAGTATCGGGAGGGTGTTGAATGCCTCGACCGGGACTGGGACTCCGCGTGACAGTCTCAATCTCACCGGCAATGTTAGCCCCAGCTCTCCGAACCACGGGAACTACGCGCAACCAGTGGTTACTACACAACCCCAGTTAGCTGTTGCCCAGATTGTACAGAATGCGATCATGCAAGCTCGGGCACTGCAGACTCGGACACAGCAGATGCAAAACCGGCTGTCATCAGGTGAATCATCTACGGGTGGTCAAACCCAGCCTCAGCCTCAGCCACAACAACAACAGAACCCTCTTCCACATCATCCTGCTCTGCCTCATCCTCAACCCGGACCTTCCCCCGCAGCTGCTGCAGCGCAACAACAATTAGCTCAGCAACAAGCCCAGGCTCCAGCCAATAACCAGCCTGCCATTGGCCATACTGATGCGAATGCCACGAATGGGGCGAACCAGGTGTCTGTCTCCCGTGTGTTCAAACTGCAGTTCGATGCCCGTCAAATCGTGTGCTGCTCACAAGACAGCCGCATTGTCGGATGGGACTTTGCCAACGGCGACCCCGAGATCATCGAAGCATGTCGATTTTTTGTTGGGCCATGAGTGACAATGAATGACCAAAACCCACACGACCACGGAGAAAGAGATGGAACAAACCGAAAAGGGTGACAGGGCTTGCTACGTCTCATCATTCTCTGATCCAGCTCAAGCAGGAGTTTTTACGGCACAAGGATCAATCAAGGGTCTTGGGTCAACCACAGCGAGCATCAAAGGGATCTGGTTTGGGGGTGTGGATTGGAAAAATCGACAGCTAGTCAGTCAGTCAGTCAGCCAGCCAGTGAGCCAGGCTCATGTGTAGCCAGTTAGCGTGTAGCATGAAGCATGGGGCACAATGCTATTCTCGCCCTGAGTCCCGCGCGTATATGTGGACATATTATGTATGTCCTCGCTCGGTCTGGCATCAAAATCAAATCGAGCCGTGGGTGAGCCGGACCTTGGTTATGGATTTATTAATTGATTGATTGATCGATCATCATGTCTTTCATGTCTTTTACATCCTTTCCGCTAGTCCTTGTCCTTGTCCTCGGTCTATCGATGCAACCTTTTCCCCTTCCCTGACCTTGTGTCCTTTGGCTCTCGCGCGCGCTCATTCTCCTCTCTCTCTCTCTCTCTCTCTCTCTCTCTCTCTCTCTCTCTCTCTCTCTCTCTCTCTCTCTCTCT